AGTGGGTTTCCGGAGCGTGGGTCTCATCTCCAGAGCTGTGTGACTGCTTTTAAAAAGGGAGAGCTTCACATCTGAACACTGGCTATTGCTATGTAACATTTACACTAACGATAACAGAGTTTGGATTTGAGGGAGATGATGAGAGGCAAACAGGAGAGTGGCTTGAGTCAGAATTCATCAGCAGGCAAAAACCATATGTATCTTTATCAATCAATGGGGCTAAAATAAAATTGTGGTCATTTGACAGCTGTATGTGATGTATCTGAATAATGGTTCTTCTGATCACTGAGAAATCCTGGCTCCTGCAAGCTTGACAGAGTAATTAAGGGACAAGATCAGTAGTCAATAAATGCCCCATGGGATTACAGTTCACAGCAGACCCATGAGATACAGTCCTCTGAGAAATGTCCCGAAAAGTAGCAAGATGATCCTCATTTGTTCTGCAGTAGCTTATTAATCATGCTGTTGGGCGGGACCCTGAGCATATAGCTTAAATAGTTGCTTATATATATTCCTTGTTTTCCATTGACCCCATCTGCCCACTTTCTCAGGAAAGCTAAGGGATGTTAAGTAATCCTTACTAAGCCCACAGACTGGTGGTGGCCTGCTGTATGTGAAAGATCACCTGACACTAAAAGAAACCATTTCTGGAATGAAACACATTAAAGCCATTCAACAGCATCCATCAATATTGTATTTCTCTTTTATAAACAATGAGGATGCATGCCTGCTGCTACCAAGATAGAGGTCTAATGAGGACGTTGGTTTTCCTGATGGGTAATCCCTAATCAGGCTTCTCTGTTACTGCATGCTGCTACATGGGAAAAAAGGCAGGAAAATAATATTTATTGGGATACAGTGAGAAGGTCACAGTAATCATATCTGCTACTCCATCAGTATGTAAGATTGCCCTGTGCTTGTCCCTCCTCCCTCAAGACAAAGTAACTTTCTCACTCACCAAGTGAATTTACAAGTAGCGTTTGAAGTGGAGGAAAATGTTTCTAGTGACACAGCTTGCTTTTCATGAGGGAGGGTGCTTTAGAAAAGGATTTGGTTTTGCTTTAAACACATCTACATACAGAAAATATGAAGAGTAGCATGGCTGTGAATACAGCAGACACAGTGGACTGTATGTGCAAAGATGTGTGGAGCTGGGACCTGGTCAAGTGGCATATGAGCAGCCTAGCTGGTGAGCTAAACACATTTGGAGAAGGGTAGAAAAAGTCACTGCTCTGAATCAAGACAGCACTTGGCTGAATCCTTAAACATGAGTGGGATTTAGATGCATTCCTAAGTGTTTTCCTTAGCTACAATTTTAGCTAGCTGAAAAATATAATATTCTGTTGAATCAAGGTAAGAGACACAGTGGCCTTAGGCTCCCTGCAGGTCTCTAGGTGCTCTGAGCTGTGCTTATAGCCAAGGTCAGGGGGGCATGGGGACACCTGAGGAGCCTGGGAAATGGTGCCCATGGGGCAGCGGGTCACCACTGTCCTGAGGCAGGAGCAAGCATGGGGAGCAAAGGCCATTTGAACTCCTTCATAGTCCCACCTTAATACTTTCTATAGTTTCTTAAAGGAAGCCCAATTAGCATGAGAGCCGCAGGCTACCAAAGTGGTGCTGGACTGCTGATATTATACATATATATACACACATCGTCACTGACAAAGAAAACCTTGCCTAGCGGGGACAGGTCAAACTGACAGGATCTCAGGATTACTAAAAATGTAAAGGGAAAAAGCAGAGCAATTTGTTAGGTTAGGGGTCTGTGGCTGCTTGGAAGTTTTAGGGAACCCATATTTCATGGGGTAGTTCACTCCTCAAATCCACCCAGATTTTACAACTATTTACCAAGCCGAATTATTAGAGCTGGGAGTGATGGCAAAGCCACACATCACGATGAGCCGATGTGTTGCTAGATGAAATCAGAGAGTTAGTTAGCTCCTTTGCAGGAGGTATAGTTCATTAAGCTATAACCTGAGTTTAACACAGAAACTTCGTGATATGCCATGACTCACTCAAGCTCCTAAAAAGGAAAAAAAGGAAATCAAAGAAGAACCAAATATGCTTTATTTATTGTTTTCCCAATGTCACATATTTCTTCCCAGATAGATAGCAGAGAGTGCTTCATCTTTTTCCCCAGGACCTTTATAAGTGGTAGACCACTAATAGTGATGGGAAAGTTGAAATGTAAAAAGTTACCAGACAAAGTAAGTATCTTACTTTCTTAGGTTCAGGAAAACACCGGTAGATTTTTAAAAAATTGAGCTTGGAATTCTTTATTCTCAAGGTCTAAACCACAGAAGAGTATTTCTTGAGGAAAAAAAAAAAAAAAGGCTTGATCATAAATCTTTTATCACTTTGAACTTACTAATTTAAAACTATCTTAGCTGAAGGCTGTGGATGGCAGAGCAATAGAGTTACACAGACTGAAAAATAATAACCTCCTTCCCAAGCATGGTATTAGAATGGTGCTGGGGGTCTAAATGCCCTGTTTGTAACCTGATGATAAATAAAACTACCTCTGGAAGTATGAAAGCACCTCTATGAGCTCTCATGGCCAAGGGGTGATTTTCTTAATTGTTTATCAGCCCAATGTGTCACTGCAGCATATAAGCAGATCAAAAGCAAGCATTGATGTTAGAGGTTCCTACTGTAGTCATTTTGAAAGAGACGCTTCATTCCCCAGAGGTGGACTGCTTCAAACCTCCTGAGAGAAACTACTGGCGGATATACACAGTCCAGAAGAAATGCTGGAAAACAGCAATAATAATTCCTGTCTTCAAAGGAAGGAAAAGAAGAATCCAGGGAGTTTTGGTCTGGCCGGTTTCACTTCATTTGCCTGGCAAACACTTGCATGAAATAACTATTTTGTAAGTAATTGGTAGGAAATTAGCAAGAGTTAATATGAATCTGTCAAAACCAGGTCTTGTTAATCTGATTAATTTCCTTCTTTAGCAGCTTAATGGGCTCTGTGGGTGAGGGAAGGGGTCCTTAATAAGCCTTTGATCCCATCTTTATCATGTTTTCGTAAACAAGTAGGGCAATAGGCCAGATGACATATACTGTATGGTAGCCAAAAGTTGTTCTAGCTGTCCTATTAACTCCCAGAGCTTCACTGTCAAAACTGGGGGATCTGCAGGGGTCTGTCCACCACCTGGGTCTCCTTTATGGATGGTTTTTAGTGAGTAAGTATGCTAAATTTGCAGGTACTACCAAGCTTGTTCAGGCAGCCAGCGTGGCCTGCAACAACCTGATCTTGCCAAACTGGAGAAAAAGTTTGGTAAAAAAAAAGAAAAAACACCCACAAAAATGTGCAATTCCACAAGGTGATGACCCTCAACTCAGACTAAGATTATCATTGCCTGTACAAGGAGGCAACCCACCTTACCCAATTCAGACAAGCAGATCTCACAAAGTATGTGAGCAGCAGTATGGCCTTTGAGACACAAGAAGGTGATTTTCTGCTCAACTTACCATGGGTGGAAAAGCAGATCTAGTTTTGCACATTGTGCTTTGAGAAGGATATAGAATTATCACAGAGAGCCGTGGGGAAAGCAGTGGTAATGGCAAGAGGTTTAGAAAACTTGACCCCCATGGAAAAGCTAAATGAAGAGAGGTGTCTTCTAATCTAGAGTAATACTGAAATGTATCACTTTGGAAGCAGTACCATTCACTGCAGATTGACCTTGCCATTCAGCGTAGCATGAAAGCTCAGAGGGGGCTGCAGGGAGCTATAGCTAAGGTGAGGGTGGAAAGAGATTTCTCCACCCAAAGGCTTTCACATTACTTTCTCTTTTTGCAGAGGAAATGGCCACTGGATACAAGGGAAAAGTAATCAATGGTAAACACTAAGTTCCCTGGGGGAATATAAGAAGGACAGTAAAACTTAGCACCTCATTGAAGCCCCTGCGTAATGAACATTGCCACAAAGCGAAGCAAATGCTGTTGATATAACCCAGACTCTCCCAGCTCCATATGCTGTACAGAAAAGCATCAGTGGCTCCAGACCTCTGGTTCCCTTTTTCCAGACTTGCCTTAGGATTAGAGGTGGTCATAGTGGTGGGATAGCTCTGGACAGACCAGGCCTATATATTAATATATAACCTGGCATGTAGGAAGGCAGGGGTACATCTCACCACCACTAGGCTAAAGGGGCACCCGTCTCCTACACTCACCCTTGTCCCTTGAAGTATGGATGTGCCTGCATTTCACCTGATTTCTTTCACAGGCATCCTCAGAGCTAAACAGCTGGCACAAATATAAGCCCCAGGAACAACAGTATTAATCACAGAGACAACATTGCAATAAATATAAATGTGTTTCACCTTGCTGAAATATAAAGGTGCAGTTTTTCAGAGGAGGGATGGAATCTGCTGTTGTAATGCATTACTGTTCTGCAGACAGGTTTCTTCACAAAAAGGACTTAATTTCTCCTTTACTGTTAAAACATTTTGTTGGTGTCCCCAGCAGTTGCAAGAAAAGGTTTCAATTCCCAAGCATTTTCTGCATTTCTGTCAGTTGTTATCTTTCTGGTCAAGATTTGTTATAAATTTAATATGTTGGCTCTAAATTCTAAGGGATTTTCATTTTGAAGTCAAGAATTGTTTTACTGGTACCAGGAGCTGGAGGATACAGCATATGATGGTGTCAGTGTTGGCTTCCCCTGTTCACTGATTGTTCTTTGTGTGGTTTTTCTCTTTGAACATCTAGAACCTGGAGCCACAGCATTATCTAATAATAATATTTTTAAAGAAATTAAAAAGAGAAAAGATAAGGAAAGCCAAGTTTCTCACGGAAAAGAACCCGAAGAGTATTCCTTACAGTACCAGAGAAAATAAGAGTAACTTATTGTTGGGTACCTTTGCATTTAGTACATTTTTGTAGTCAATATGATTTAATCATATGAATTTTTACTTTGGTTGTCTAGGTCCTGGTTTCTAATCAACTGTGCTCAGCAGAACGGCAATCTTCTTCAAAAGGAAAAAAAATCCACTCCCAGATTATTGGAAAAAAGAACCCTGTCTCTTGTTTATTTATTTATTTAGAAAGCACATACAGCAATGCATAGGGAGAGGAAGAGAGATGCAAAATAGGTGAGCATACAAATCCATCTCAAAAGAAATAGTGAGACACTTCCCAGATGATTAGTAGTACATCAGTCTATGTGAGCATTTAAACTGTTGTACCTCCAGATTAAAAAAAGAAACCACAGAGAATTTCTGAAGAACAAGAATAGAATTTCTGTCTATATTTCAGAAATCCCACCACAATCAACTTGTAGGCAGCAACATTTTTGTTTTGATTTTTATTCCTGATATTTCCTCAAAGGGGTCTCTCTTGCTCACGCTATGGTTTCTTTCCTCAGCGTCCGCCTCTGGTGACAAGTAAGGATACTTGTGAATGAAGATTTCCCCTTAGTTCTCGACCTTTTCTTTAACTTCTTTTGATGCTTGAGTGAAATTCCAAGCTCTTCCATTATCGCATTGAAAGACAGACACTGGTGGAAGACATAAATGGCATTAAGCACTTCTCATTGAAGGCAGAGTTTGACCATACCCTTTGCACAAATGATGGCTTTTATAAGCAAGGGCCTGAGCTCTTACTGGCAGACTCAGAAAGCTGCTTAGCTGAGTTCTGCCAGCTTTGAATAAGCCCATAAGGTACAATAGGTGAGCCTGTATCAAAGTCATGTTTTTTGCCTAACTTGACTTCCACTGAATTTAATTTAACTTTGGCTTAACTAAAGCCGATTGTGAATGTTTCTGAAATTCTATACAAATGCACTTGCAATGTTTTGGTGATTTCATATCATCAAACTTACCATTTTTCAGAAGGTAAATTTCCTCCTGACCTTAAAAGAAAAATTCTTTTTTAAATTACATGTACCTTAGTCACAGAAAAATGGGTATACTAGAGAAAACAACACAAAATTTGAAGATTTTTTTGTGGTTTAGTTATTTTCCCCTCATGAAATTATCAGACATTCTAAAAGATAACAATCCTATTCTTTGGAAAGAATCTTTTTAAAATATTGTGTGTTAAAGGAAGGAGAAAATGACCACAAGAATAAGGTAGCTGAATAATTTAGAAAGAAAGCAGAAATCTTTTTGTTTCCCGCCATCACAACATTAACAAAGACATCCTCTAAAATCTACAGCTGGAATAATTACATGTAACACAAAAAAAAACAAAACAACCAAACCCTGACAAAGAGGTTTTAAGTGGAAGTATCTAGCAATGCAAAATGTGTTCCATGCAATATATATAAATAAATTATTTACATATAAAATGAAGTAATGGTACCAGTGTGAAACAAAGCTTTAACCTTCTTACCTTCATCAAGTTGAATAAATCCTTCCTACCAAACCATTCCTACAACTGCAGAACTGATCAGCTTTAAAACAATTGGTTAAAACTAGTGTTCTTGTAAAATGACAGCAACAGCACAAAGGCATGGTTCTCTGTATCAAAAACTAATTTCCTTCTAGAGTGATACCAATGCAAGGTAAGTAATGCTCAGTTCTCAACCAGTAACAATCCAATAATGACCTCAGTTATACAGGGCTAAAAAAAAGTAAAATCAGATATATGATTCAAGGAAAAAACCCAAGCTTTTCTAGTAGTCAGTTATTCTAGAGGAATATTCTAAATGCAAAAGAGTATGCGGGTAACCTGGATCAATCATTTGTTTAAGGTAGCAAAGGAATCCCAGAGAAGTGAAGTCCACACACTGTGCTGCTTCTTCTCCAGTATAAATGCTCCCTATAACGTGTAACCCTCGTTCTGCAAATGAGCTCAGGGCATCGCTGCATCAGTGTGTGTGTATATTTTAAATGTGTATGATCTTGCATAAGTCATCATGTCTGTTTGTGGGAGTGGCTGCACACAGACTAGGACCCCATAGTATGTTAAATCTGTAGTTTAATATACTGTTCCTCTGAGATGCTCGATTTTTGTTCATCTAAAATTCTTAAGTATGCATAATTAAACAAGCACTAAATCATGATATCCCTAAAATGTAATAGACATAGGCCAGAGCAATGTACTGTTGGGAGTTTTTTTGGGTTTTGGGTTGGTTTTTTTTTGGGGGGGGGGGGATGTGTGTCTACTTTTTTCTTGTTTTGTTTTATTTTTTTCTGGTTGGGATTTGTTTTTTTTTTTTTTTTTTAAATTCCAATTACTGTCTAGTAATAGCCAGGAATTTGCTGGTGCATGTATCATTTAAATATCCCTTTTGAAAATGTAATAAAGGAATTCCAGCTCTACTGGTGTTAAAGGTATCTGCTGTAGGCCCATGCCCCCTGAAAGCAGCAGGTGAAGCAGGTATCACCCTAAGACAGGCACTATTTCCATAGAGGTTCAGGCTTTTTTAGAGAGTAGCACCACGTATTCACAAACTAATAAAACTGTATGCTCTAAGTGGCTGACTTGGTATGGATAATTTCTCTCTACTATCTTAGCTTTAATTGAGCTTTCAAAATCTAGATTAAAAAGTGATTCCAGAATTACTTGGCAAATAAGGGAAACCATTCATAGGATTGATCAGTTTATTTTTATTTTCTTTCCCTGTTGTTCTTACCAACCTACAGGTTGTATATTTAATAATAGCCATCAGTCTCTGCAATGTGCATACAGGGATGATTTTAGCAGATGAAATAGTACATTTTACTGCCTTGTAATAGGCTGGTATTTTAATTTTCCAAACTGATTCATATTATTCAGACTATGCAATTATCACAATGCCTTTCAATTTCATATAAACAAAATAGTCCCATGAAGATAATTTTACACCTACAGGTAGATATTTAAAACACATTGCTGACATTAAGAATGTGAGGTTTTTAATATCTGACTACATGATTTGTGAAGTGCCCATTGGTTCCACTTCCAACTCTGTTTTGAACTTTAAAATAAATATCATCAGTAAGACTTCAAGCTATTCTTAAGAATGGCTTTGATGTCTAGGTTTTGCCTAAGAATTAAACTTTTGCCTAATTGTTCATCAATAGCAGTTACATCTAAAACTGAATATAAAAACGTTACGGTTCTGGATGAACTTTTCTGTAAACTGATCATGTTTGTCCACCCAACAAAGCATGGAAGTAGGACATTCAAAATCTGAAAAGGCTCTGCCTTATTGAGACTCTCTTCTATCCCACCACACCCGTCAATGCCCCAGTAGGTTGACCAGCCACGAAAGAGGTTGAGACACACACACTCAGCATATGTGGGAATGGACTCTGACATCCTACAAAGACAGTGGGTTGGGAGAGGGACATTAGGAGGGTCTACAGTGATAGCTGCTTGGGTCTTACACCTTAGAGCTCCTGCTTCAGGCTTTGTAAAAGCACAAAAGCATTTTTCAAATTACGTTATGCTTAGTTTCAAGGTACTTAAAGCACCTTTGGCATGAGTATTGTCAACCCAAGGCAATGAATTAAATGTAGATTTAAGACCCTGAACTGACCCTTCAAAGATCTTCTAGTGGTTGTGACCATAACTATGACTCTGATCAATTTTGCTTGTGTTCCTGTGTCTGAGATCCTACCACCTTTGGGAAAAACAGTTGGAGGTGGTAAAAAACATTTAAAAACCTGGAAGGCACAGGGCTTTCTCTGCCCCTCTGCCTTCACACAGAGCTTCAAAAGGTCAAAAAGAGCAATTTGAGATGATACTTCAAACTTTCAGAGGTTTGGTTAATTGTTCAGAAAGACAGTTAGAGGTGAACTTTCTTTTGAGCCCCAGAAGCACAGCTCAAAATCCTATTTAACTCCAAGTTTGTGTGCACGATTAGGGAACTGAACAGATGTTTAAAAACTGGAATTGCCCTGAACTTTTCAAGCAGTAGAAAACTGCGGTAGAGAGTGAATATAAACTCAGCCAGAATACTGTAGGATTTACAGGAAAATCACAGACAAGTAAGACATTCAGTGGGGACTCCCAAGACACTCTGAACAGCTCCGTGTCTGCAGCATAATTACAGTACCCTTTAAAAAGGGAATGTTGACATTAAAATTCTGTTTAGAAGGGTAATATATTGTCCTTTTAGTCTCATATTCAGATAGCCAGATTGAAAGGGTTTCTTTAAAGAGCTATTTTTTTTTACTAGCTGTTAAGCCCACTTTTGAGGTCTCACACAGAATGAGAACAGAGAAGGCAGAGAGCAATACATTTAACAGAGTAATAAGTTTAACATTTTGCTTTTAGTCAGCTTAACTTTCTTATTCTAGCAGTGTCAAGATGCTGCAGGACACGGCATGTGAGGCTAAAAGGAAATGTCATCCTTAAAAACAGAAGAGATTTAGCTCTCCTTGTGATGTAAGACTCTTTATCTTTGCCCTTATGGTCTCTTCAGCAGGCTACAAAAGCTTGGCCATGAAGCTCCCAAATCCTTCCTTACATTCCCATACAGAAGACTGTGTTAAACATTATGATAATTATAAATTCAAAATTTAAAAAAATAACATAAGATAAGATAGAAACAAGTCTGAGAAAAGAATCTGTAGTCAGGCTTTATCGATCTGATGCTTTTGTTGTTGGGCTACTGCTGCAATCAAGAATTTTCAATGGCATTTTATTAACAAAAAAATCCCAAAAACAAACCAAAACAAACCCAAACCAAAAAACAAACACAAAATCCCAATAAAACCCAGACAAACAAAAAAAACCCACCACCAAAAAAAAAAACCCACCAAAAACCAAACCACAGCACCCCACAACACCGAAACAAAGAAGCAACTCACCAAAACAAAAACAAACCCAGTGCTCTGTGTTGGGCAACTGACAACTATGTAAATCAAAGGACATGGGCCAGATTTTATTCTCAAGGAACATGTGACTGGCCGAGGCACAGAGGAGGAGGTACAGAACTCAGGATTTCTCTTTGGCAGTGCCCTCAGAAGGACCCATAGCTGGGAGGGACACTGACATATGTCTTCTGCTGAAAGAAATGTGATTTGTTTGTGCCTAGTGCACTGAAGGAAAAATCTCCAAAATAGTTTCTCCTAGTGAGCAAAGTGCTGTTGCAGCACATTAAGAATCTGTTGGAGTACTCCATCACTGGTGGCTAATTGCATGAGATCACTAAATTAAATCTTTTAAACTGTCAGAGTCTATTGAACAGTGATTGTCAAAACAGTATGGCAATAATCCATGGATTATTTTAACTCTTCCTCAGTTATATAAACTGTTCCTCAGTTTCCTGTTTACCAGAAAAAAAAACAACAACAAAACAAAACAAAAACCAAACCAACAGTAAAGCTACTTGCTCATCTCCCAAACCATCTAAAAACCAAATGGGAAAGTTAAGTAAAGGCACAGATGGCCACAGTCGTGTTTGGAGGTGGGATTATGGCCTGAAAGTGAAGGGGCTCAGGGGCTCCAGCTGATACTCATCCAACAGGAGGAATTTGCAGACCTGACAACTTCACAAGAAATTCTGGTTTGCAAGAACCTCAGCGAGACTGGGGATTTCTTCCTTCTCCCCCTTTTCCTTCT